TCTGTCTGGTATGAATTACGATTTGCTTGTTTAAATGTGAATTGATGATGCTGATTGAGGAAAAGGAAAAATGAAAGATTGTGTAGACTGATAATTGTATTATGGGGGTCAGCCTGACTAGATATCCTGGGAGATGGTGGACGGACCGGGTCCGTAGGGAACCCTACCGGGATTGTGGTCTCACATGCCGGACGGGGTATGGAGATCTTATGGTTTTGGCGCCCATACCGGACGGGGTATGGGGACGGCCCGTTTCACCCTCATACCGGACGGGGTATTGAGGTTTATGGTTTTGGCGCCCATACCGGACGGGGTATGGGGACGGCCCGTTTCACCCTCATACCGGACGGGGTATTGAGGTTCATGGTTTTGGCGCCCATACCGGACGGGGTATGGGGACGGCCCTGGAAACTGATTATGAATGTTAAAGGTTAACGGGTAGCGGAACCCCTATGGACCCCCACGGATACTAGTAGGCTGGTAAATGAGAAAAAGATATGTTGTACAATGATTGAATTACAAGATGCGTGATAAGTGTTATGTTTTACAGCTTAGATTATTCAATGATTATGATAATGTTATTGTTTTTCTCATATTGTTTTCATAAATTCCACCAAGGTAAGTGGATGGTAAAAGTTTTATTATTGATAAAAGGTTTTGTTGTTAATAAACGAGTTTATTGTAAATTATGCTCCATTGGTCTTTTTGTGGTTTTCTACCCCACCTTTATCTCCGTGACGGTGAGATATCGTGATGTTCTTACTGGGCTAGTGTAGCTCACTCCTTAATTAACCATTTCAGATCAGGAAGACATGGTTCCCGAGCCCGTTCCGCAGAGGACGACGAAAGGGATGCCTAGAGACTCTGTATCATACGCATAGTTTTATTTTCGAGTTTCTTTCTTAGTTAGTTTAATCTTTTATATTTTAAGTACGTTTTTGGTTTTTCGTGTAAGGGATGTTAAATGAAATTTTGATCTCGCTTCGCATTCGATATATTTAAATACTCATTTCATTTTAATATTTTCCGGGGTCGTTACAAAACAAGTTTCCAAGCCAACATGATGAAACATAATTAAAAGTGAGTCTAGTGACATGATGAAACATAATTAAGAGTGAGTCTAGTGACCTACTCTGGACCATTTTTACCAGACAAGTACCAGAAACAACAACGGAGAAACTATAACCAGAACCTTTAGACAAACTACAACCTGTTGCAGCCTCTAAAACCTTGCCCCCATAAAAGTCGTTATCACCAAATCTAGTTAATAGACCTTTATAAGACGGTAAACATAAGGTCTTATAAGCACTTTCAAGAACAAAAAGATGTGATTGAAAAGATGGTCTATAAATTGATGGAATCAGGAGGAATTCGTGAAAGACAAAGCCTTTTCTCATCACCTATTGTATTAGTGAAAAAGAAAGATGGGTCGCGGAAAATGTGCATAGATTATAGACAGCTGAACGAATAAACTGTGAAGGACAAGTTCCCAATTCTTTGCATAGAGAAACTTTTCGATGAATTGGGGGAGGGGGGGGGGGGGGTTTGGGAAGGGGCTAATGGGTCTTCTCTAAGCCGGATTTGCAATTTTGTTATCACCAAATACATATATATGACAGAGGAAAACATACAAAAAATAGTCTTCTGCACTATTAGTTCTTAATGATGTCATTTGGGCTCACTTCTACGTTCCAAGCACTCATGAATAACTACTTAAACCTTTCCTTAGAAAATTCGTTATTATATTTTTAGATGATATTCTCATTTACGATTCAAATATTATTGATCACGCTCACCATTTAACTTAAGTGTTTACTCTCCTTAAACAAAACCAATATATGCAAAGAAAAACAAGTGTGTTCTTGGTACATTGGACATGTTATTTCAGCTCAAGATGTATCCATGTCCAGAAAAAATACAAGCCAGAAAGGATTCAAACAACCAACAATACCAAAGCAGCTCCGAGGAATTCTTGTGCTTACATGTTGCCATTGGATGTTCCTTCACCAGTATGGAAGTATTGCCAGACTACTCAATAATATGTTGGAGGGACATTTTCAGTGGGCAGCAGTAGTGATCCGAGTCTTTTAAAAACTCAAGACTAAGATGATTACA